GACAATCATGTGGTAACCAAAATAGTCTCATTCCCTGGACAGGACCTCAGTTCAACTGTTTCAGCTGACATCACCCCTGAAATCTTCTGCGTCACTCCTTGGCTCGTGTTGTCCACCCTTAACTGCGTTTCAGAAGTTCTGGTTCCATGGAAACTGCTTCTGGTACTTTACCAAGATATCAGCTTCAAAATGCATGTAATAAGAAAACAAACTTAAAATTTGCTAGACTTTACATTAACTTACTTATGTATAGTGTGAGGCTAATTTTTCACTGGCCCTACCGTGAGTAGTAGCTGTATGCTGTTAGTGTTCCTGCTTATATTAAGGAGCTTCCTGAATAAGTTAGATGTTGCAGAGAGAAGTGGTTATCTATTTTCAAAGACTTATGATAAAAGAATATAATCAAACGATTTTATCTTTAATCATAGCAGTTGCAAATCTGTAACAGCATCAAGCACATTACATCACCTAATTTAAAGTCCAGCCTTCCTACAGCTCAACTAGTATTTTGTAAAGAAGGCTGAAGCTTCCAGCCTTTATTTTCACAGCTGATGAACCTATTGCATTGCTAGTAAGTCTCCCTACAGCTTTATAATTCTCCTTTTAAAATATACAAAAATAAAAATACAGTAATAAAAAATATTTCCTACAGTACTTTGATCCTTACTTGTGCTTGTAAGCTGCTCAAAATCAAGGCTGTATCAGTGAAAAAATGGAATATTTAATTATACCAGGAAGCAATTTTATATTTTGGCACTAGTCAATATACAGCAGAACATAAACAGACATTCTATTCATAAAAGTACAATTAAATCAGAAGACACTGAAAAGGCTGGTTAAAGATTTGTAAAGCCAGACGTTACTGGTAAGCTTTAAAGTAATTTGAGAACAAATCCCGTACAGCATATGCTAGAGCAAACTGAAAATATTTTCCAATAGGCTTAAACAATTTAATTTTTTTTTTTAACTCTTAGTAAATCTGTACTTGTAACTCAGCTCTTGACTGCGTAGCACAGGAATAGAGAGGAAGACTTTTAAGGACTGGAACTGAGGCAGCTTCTAAAGCAGTTAGAAGAATTACTGTAGGTTCCTGTTCTTTCCCAACTGTATTAGGATAGCTTGATCAGAACTGCTGCTTAGAGATTGACACTTTTGTCTTTTATCCATAACAGCATCATTCTAGTCACTGTAGTATTAAATTTGGAAATTTTATTTTTTAAGAATGTCTTTTATGTAAAAAAGCCAAGGAGAGAAGCCATATTTGTACAAAAGCCTTGTACAAAAGCTAACAGGAAATATGGAAAAAACACCTACTGTTATTTTTTGGTTTTGGCTGTACGAGTTGCATATAACATAGATTTTAAAACATGATGATAATTAATGAAATGCATTTCAGAGCGTGTCCTCTCTCAAGCGAGATGAATTTTAGTAAATGTTCCATGCTTATGTTAGATTTGAACAACAAAGAGAGCAATGCATTTTCAGGACCATCAGAAGATATAGTAAATTGTCTATGAGGAATACAGCAGTGAAGTGTTATCAAGTCCTTCAGCTTCTGTACTGAACAGTTCAGAAACACGTACCAAGAATGTTAACTGAAATATATTTAACATATTATTGCAAGCAGTGCATTAGGGAATACTTAATCAAAATCAGTAAAACCCATACTGTATGGAATATCACTGTATATCTTTTTCTTGCATGCAGTGTAATAATGTGAATATGAGTGTTAAGTCTTGTTCAGTGGGGAGATCAGCTTCCCAAGGTAAAAGACAGTGATCATTAAAATCAAAATATTCTACAATGCTGTACTGCTGTATGCAGAGCCTTACTGTTCATTCTTTATCATATTTACAGTGCCTGATTCTGCAACAAATTACAGTAGTTTAATAACAAAAAGTTTTTCTATTGCACAGCTGGAAGCCAAGAAAAGTTCTGCAACATATCCACTGCAGATTGGGCCCTAAGTAGTTAAAATTGCTGAACTGCGCTGGTGGTGGTACTAAACATACTGTTTATTTTCCTGTACTCAGAGGCACCACTGGAATCCACCTTCCCTATTAGGATGTATATCTCGGAATGAAGTTACTCAGTGCCTGTGAAATAAAGTGTTTATAGTCACTCCAGATTTTTTATAATTTGTCACATTATATGGAGAAAAAAAATCAATCTATTTCTTAAGTTAATTGAGACAGACAATAGCTGCACACTTTCCCTCTCTTTCCAAAAGCCAAGCAGAGCATTTGCATGTATCTATGGGTTTGATTATTTTAAACAAGGCAGGGTGAAACCTGAAGAGTGTATTAGGCAGGCAAGGGGAAAGATATTGGTCCATTAGTCAGTAATACATTGTTCTGTGAGGGGGTCACAAACAGTGGTACCAGCTCTGCTCCTGTTCCCTATCACAAGGAGGGAAACTTGCTACTGCTCTTTATGCTACGTGGGTATTCTCAGCATTGCCAGTGAGAAAAAGTAAAAATTCATGAGGTAAATCTCAAGATTATATACATATGCAAATGCACATGTGTGTCCATACATGTACACATGTGTATTTTTATATATAAAATCCTACATTGGAGTTTTCTTTTTTTTCATATAATGAGCCTTGGGGCTTGTTCTCACTGAAACAATAGTTTGACTAAACTGCGCTTAGTAAAGCTCCTCTCAAGTTTGCCTAGCCTGAATGAGAGAAGCGGGGCTTCAAAGCAGTGGTATTTGGATAAGCAGCACAAAAGTTCACAGACTTTGTCTCATTACCAGCTCCAGAGCTGGCTCCACATTTATACACTGGCTTTAAGCCACACTGCGCTTACAAGCCAGCTAAAATCAAGAAACCAAATTTTTCTTTGGAAATCTCCCAGTTGTGAACTACTTGGGACTGCTCTTGCTAAAGGAAAGAGAAAGAAAACGTCAAAGATGGCCAGTATCAGAAGAATTATTGTTCTTTGACCAGGTTGCCCACTCTTAGGTTAAAAAATGAAAATGAGGAAGAAACAAAAAGAATAATTGACATTTTGAAATTTTCTGTGATATGTATGCCAAGTTCCGTCACATACAGAAGAAAATACTTGAGAGGGCACATCATCTTTTCATCCTATCAGAAACAGGGGAAAAGGGTACAAGGGATTGTAGGAGATTCAAGAGGGAAGACCTCTTCTTTCTTAGAGAGCAAAGACACCCATGGAGGACAATAAGAGAGGAATAAAGTAATAGATGTTGAGAGAAGCTGTTGAAAATGAGAAGAGGAGGAATGTGAGAAGAAGTAAATAAGAGAGAGAGGGAGATATACAGAGCTACTAACAAATGAAGACAGGCAGTGATCTCATATTTCATATGGCATTGACTGAAGAAGGAAAGATAATGGCATGGCATAACACGTTCAGAAAGCTTCCATATATTCCATAGCTTCATGGTACTCCATACATCCACTGCTCTTACTCACTTGAGGGTTTTTCAGCTCAGGAGGGTTGACATTAGCATATAGGTATAACAGTATTGCTGAGATATCAGGAAAGGCCATGTATAATAAATGTTGGGCTTGGTTGCATGCATTCACATTTTTCATCTTGCAATGTCAGGTGCATTGTTTATGCACGTACTAGTAAATATTGTTAGAGATGCTGGGTGAGTCAGCTCTGCAGGGCCAGTGAGACTGAAAAACTTCAAAAACTCCTCCTTCTCCCTATCCCTCCTTGTGTGCCCCAGAAGAGTAAGCAAAATTTTCTGCAGATGTGCCAAGGATAGATCTCTCAAAAGTGAAGTGTACTGCTTTCACAGTCACTTTTCTGGTGATGGTGGCCCTTTTTGCTAAGTTATTTGAAGATGAAAGCAGTAATTGCCAGAACACACCTAAAGAGAACAGTACTGGGCCATTGTTTTCCAAATCAATAAACATTTCAAGAGGGCCATTTTTTTGTTTATTTGCTTTCTTTGTTAAAATATTTAGGATCCTGCTTTTACTCATTCATGGAAAATGGATAATGAATTTCCAAAACAAAAATGATCTGTTAACTCAGAAAAGAGACTATACGAAATACAGTAAGCCGTGCTTAGCGTGCCGTCTCATGCCAAAGCAAATTCTCAGTGATAATATTGGAGCAGTGATCTGTACAAAGTACAGATCCCAGTAATTTGGATGGTAAATGAGTGGCATTCTTGCTTCGAAGGACCCGTAATGTTGCATAAGCTCAAATTCAGTGAAGTCAGTTTATGTAGTGATTACTGACAGGGAACTTCCACAGAAGTCTGGGTTTCTCAGACCCCTGTTTATACGGTATGCAGTTACAGTACTGGGATAATTATATTGATTATTGGCTGTTGTTTCACTGCAGTATTTCAAAGTTTGCCTCAGTTTCAATGAAAAGAAAAGTGAGTTGCATCTGCTTATCTCAGAATAAATAAACAGAAGCCAAAAAAGCCACATATAGCTTCTTAAACATAAGATTGCTAAGTATATTATTTATTGTGTATGTAAAAACCCCACTGAACAGCTAAACTATTTTACCCTACTTTTATTGGAAATAACAGTAGATCCTCATCTGCCTCAGAGTTGACAGTTTGGTAATAGGTGGTAACGCAAAGTCACTACACAACAGGGCAAGAGTCAAAACCTGTTTTGTAGAAATGTGTTATTCAGTGTCTGGTAGTGAAGTTGCTTAGTCCACTTTACAGTGCTCTTAGTTTAATATTGACTGAAAAATTGAAAAGATTGGTAATAGGACCTCATTTTTTGACTGTTTCTGGATGGTTAACTAGGAACTCAGTGGATTGCTTGTTAATTTTCCTGGGCATATTAAAGAACGACATTCCTATAGCTCCTCAAATTTCTTGCACCTCTGTGCATTTGAATTTCAGCTTTTATTCCATCCTGTGGAATTTCAGTGTATTTTAATCTAGTTTTGGGGCTTTGTTGATACTGTTGTTAGTTGGTGTATGTGTTTATCTATAGTTATTTATTAAACTTCTCGTTATACTGATTACAGTATTGTGATTTTTTTCAGTGTACCTTGAAGATAGTTTTGTAAAATCTGGAGTGTTCAACGTGTCAGAACTTGTGAGGGTGTCCAGAAGTAAGTTAACAATTATATTTAATCATTTCCAAAATCTACTAAAATCAAGTGAAAGTTTTTTCTTTACCTGACTTTTTTTTTTCAAGATGTAAAATGTGTAGGAAATGCCTATCATTACAAAGAATTTTGATAGCTTTGTGCACAGTATTACAGTCTTCTTGCATACATTTGTAATAAAACACACAATAGTCCTTTTTTGTCTCTTCAGTTTTTAGAAATAAAATCGATCTATGTGTCCCTGTGCACAGTGTAATGGACTGTCAATAACATTACCATACCTAACAAAATCTTCTATTTTTTAGACTTTCAACTTTTTAAGGTTATTCTACACCTCCTTGGATTCTGCTAAACTATCTGATTATTCTTTTAGTTTGTTTTCTAATTGGTAGCTGCTAAAAGAAAATCATAGCAAGGATAGAAAGGATGACTAAATTAATATATCATAGGCTGGTCTATTTCTTTTTCTCATAGCACTTTTTATAATTGAATTTCTACTTACATTAACTTATTTTCGGCATCAGAAAGGTTATGCACGCAAGCATGCTAAGAACCCAAAAGTAACATCAATTTTAAATATGCTGGGACAGGTGAAGGTTTTATTACAGACAAAAAAAACCGAAATGGAAAGAAAGATCTCTTTTGTTGACATCTAAGAATCTGCTGTAATGCCATAGCATGAAAACAGTGCTTACTTTCATTTGACATTGCTTTCTGAGCACTTCTTTCATCCCTTTAATATCAATACGATTAAAGTATTTCTCTTAAGACTTCATTAAGAAGTGAACAAAAACATTTAAAAGTTGTGTTTAGTAGTGTCTGCAGTGATGACACAATATAATGCCAACATGATGACAGTTGAATGGTTCAGTAAAATCTCTTTTATGATGAGGCGAGGACAAAAACAGTGAGGCAGAAGTATCCAAAGCTATCTGTCCTAGATTTTGCAGAGGAGCTGATTCATGCCAGGACAGGAAGCTTAAGGAATGTAATTGACTTAGTGAGGCTTAGGATTTAACTATTGTTTTGTTTGCCATGGTCAAAAATGAAAATTATGTGAAATGCTTCAGCAAGATACTGAGCATTGTGGTCCTACAGTGTTAAGACAACTGTTATTTTTGTGCTTGCTGAAGATATGTTTTTTCTCATTTTAAGTAGCTGAGGATTTGTGTATATGAAATACAGGCTTTGCTTGTAGCTGACCAGTGGTTAAATATTTCTTAAAATATTTAGCCGTTAAAATTAAAAAAGGATTAATGTTATAGTTACCTTATGAAATCATATCTTCTGCTGCTGACTGTTAGACAGAATATACTTCCAATAATAAACTGCAAAGCATGTGGTTTTTGTGGGATTTCTTGCCATGCATTTGTTTAACCTCAAGCCGCAACAGAGTTATACTTTAACTGTCGAGAAAAACACAAACCTTCAGATACATTACACAACATGCAATTATTCTTTTAAGTGCCAAAGATAGTTAAAATGCGCAATACACAGACAGTGAACAAAGGTAAATGTGCCACAGCGTATAGCATATAATTTATTCTTGAAAAGCTAAAATTCACAGCACATAGACTCTGAAAGGCACGCAGACCATGTAAGGAGGTGAAGGTAACACTCGGTGAACGTGTGTTTGCGTGTAGGTGGTACTTGTGGCACTGGGTGAAAGAAAGAGGAGGCAGTACAATATACTGTCAGGACAGAAGGCTACTTTTAGTACAAAGCGGTTAACACTAAGGGAGGAAGAGTCTGTGCATCCCAAGTTTGTTCTTTCCAGTTATTTCAGTTGTTTTAATAAAGGATATAAAGGTTCTGCTTACAAACCTTGCCTCTTTCACTGTAAAAGTCATTCGGCAGAAGGCTCAACTTGGTGCCATCGCATGTGTTACTTCTTCACGTTTGTGATTCCATGTTGTCTGCTATAAAGACATTATGTACCACAGATACGTTGTCTGCATAATAACTGTTAAAGGAATTTCTGGGTACTGGAGAACTGGGTACTTATTTTAAGATATATAAGCATTGACAGAACTTGTCTGTACTTGGTTTCTGCAATAGGCAGAAAATTAGGTTCATGTAGGAACATCATGACATTTTTCCCAGTGTTAAAAATAAAAAGATTCTAACAAGATAGAAGATTATCTTTGACTCTTTATAATGATGTGTTTTTCAGCGCCTATAACCCAGGGGACTGGCGTGAACTTCCCGATTGGAGAGCTTCCGAGCCAGCCATATTACCATGATATGAATTCGGGAGTAAATCTGCAGAGGTCCCTATCCTCTCCACCAAGCAGGTAAAAACATGAAATAGATGCTAATGCACAGTAAGCTTTAATAGGGTGGGGAAAGCAATTCACAAATACTGTCAACAGCTTACTGTTTATTTTATGAATTTCTTCTGATTTTTTATGTAGACTGCTTATGTACCCTACCGTAATCTGTGTATGGAGATAAACACACACACGCGCGCGCGCACACACACACACACACACACACACACACACACACGTTAAATAATCTTATAATTAGAAATTGTATCATTATAGTGAATCATTGCTATAGACATCACAGATGATAACTTCTGTCAACTTTTGAACTGTTAACTAATGATCCACTGAGAAAACAGTTGTACCTCCTGAACCTGCTGCTCAGTTGCAGAACAGTCTATCACCTTGGAGCCTGCTAGCAGTGCTTAGTGCTACAAGGCAAATCCAGGCACAGAAGCCATCTCTGACAGCACCTTCAGTCAGGAATTATGTGGACAGTGGGACAGCATTTAAAAAAATTTTGATTTTTGACAGGACTAGAACATTATTCCCCCAGGAGCTAGTGTTTGTGAGCTATTTAATAGCTCATATCTCTGAATTTACTTTCATTGAATTTTCAGATTTACAGTTCACCCAGTACAGTTAAAAAGGATAGATTAATTCTCACATTATTGTATAGTAGTAGTAGTAGTAGTAGTAATAATAATAATAATAATAGTAATAATAATTCATTTAAAGCCTTCATCATGGTTTCCTTTGGCAGTCTCCGTAGCAGCTTCCGTATATATTGTTACGAAGAAACTTGACTCTCCTTCACTGTATTGAAGTGCTGCCTCATTTTATATAGTGTAACTTGAAATGTGGGCCTTTTGTTTTCAATTAAACTAATTTAAAATGAAAAGTCTTTGTTTCAAAATAGATCTCTTTGAAAAGCGTAGGATTTTGACCTGGTGAAATACAGTAAACTATTTCTCCCTTATTAACACATTCAGAAAAATTCCTGGTCTACCTGGGCTTTATTAGTAGCAGTTTTCCAGTGCTTTATTTTGCTTTCAGGAGTGCGCAATAGTGTTTGACCTTCTCATGGTACAAACTTTGTGTAGCAGGTTACAGGAACTGGTTTCTTGGTTGTTCAGCGGGATGCTGATAGACTTAGAACACTGCGAGCTTTTGTAGGGTGGCCGTTCCCACCACCTCTGAAATACAGGCCTGTGAAAAACATAAGTGCAGATCTGCATTACGCATTATTACATGACAGATTTAAAATCTGCTGTTTTTATCCTTTTTATGCCCAGATTACTTTCTATTGAAATATTTGTTGAAACCGAAATAGTTTCTATACCACTGCTAGCTGCATGTCGTACTCATGGCCAAATCTTCCATTTCTTCAACAGCAAAAGACCTAAAACTATCTCCATAGATGAGAATATGGAACCAAGCCCGACAGGAGACTTTTATCCTTCTCCAAATTCACCAGCTGCTGGGAGTCGGACATGGCATGAAAGAGATCAAGGTGAGTGATATCAGACCATTTTGCCTTCAAAGTATATTCAGACACACAGCAAAGCTCTGCATCCACCTTTCCATTATTTCAATAAAATGATGCTTTTCTGAAAGAATCGTAATTGTTCTGTGTGATATATATGTGTGCTAGTTTTATAAATGCAGTTATAAACAACAACCAAAGGTATAAAGTATGAACAATCACATAACAAGTTTTTCATCTCGTCCCTGCCTGTTGTTTGAAAAGATGTGTTGCAAGTGAGGTGCTTTATATTGTGTATGCTGTGATCATCGCAGAAGGTTTATGAGTCAAATTGTTTCAGTAAAAAACAAAATATCTGCATTCTGTGGTTGAGACAGGACTAGTTCACTCAACTTTTGTTTTGCAAAACATGATACAGAATTCTGTATGTGGATTTAGCCCTTGCTGTGTAACTCTGAAAGGGTCCAATAGGCCATTCTCTAAGGAGACCTCCCGTAGCTCTGGAGGACTATATCCATGGGCTGAAGTGTGTGGTTTTGCACAGTTGTGTTTTGGGACATCGGAAGCAAAGAACGTGTTTGTTCAGAGAAGAAAATTATGACTGTCAAAACAGAAAAATTAATTATCATAACTTCCCCTGATGTTAACTTGATGTTTTATAAACCTTCATGCTAGTATAGTCTTTTCCCTCGCCTTTGTGATATGAAAATATACTTAAATTTATGAGTGTTTGAACATTGTAGTGGTTAATGAACCCAGTGTTTGAGGTTCTGGAGCTCTCTGGAGAATATGTGAAATATGCAGCACAGTATGTAAAAGTGAAACAGAGAAAAAGATATGCAGTTTCTTCCTTTGCTGCTTCTGATGTTTGCCTTTTGTTTCTCCGTATACTGCTCACCATTCCTCTCATCACTTCAGTTCTGACTGACCCTTTGGGCTGCTCTTTTGTTATGTTATTTTAGGCTTCTTCTTCTGCTTTTTTTGTTGTTGTTGCTAGGATTTCTGTTTTATCTCTGTGTGCTTGGTAGCGTGTGCTCAGTATTTAATTTAGCTGTACTTTATTTTCACATTTTGATGATACCTGATCTCCTTTAAATTTATTTTTACCTCCTGTCTGATTTGTGTTCTCATTAGGCTATTTCTCACATGCAACTCATTACACTATTTCTCTTGGTTTTTTTTTTTTCCTTTATTTTTTCTGTACTTTCCTCTCCTGGGGTCTCCAATATTTTCTTGTTTTTATCTATGTTCAGCATACCCTGTTGAATTATAGCAAATCTAGCCTGTAGTTTTAGGTAACTAAATTTAAGAACAGCAAAACAGCAGGACTATTTATCAGCTTCCAGAAACTGTCCTCTTTGTCCAAGATGTTCTCATCTGTGACTCTGGTCTGTTTTCTACGACACCTTTATTACCATTTTTCGTAAGAGACAGAAATATACCTGAACTGATTTTTTGTTTTTTAAATAAAATATTTGTGTGGGTGTGGGAAAAACAGCTGAAGTGGTCTCTGCATATCCCCACTTGTGAAATGAAGTCCTTCTGTGGTATGAGTGAGCTGTAAGGCTTTCCTAGAAAGGCAGTGCCTCTTGGGCTGCCCAAGCCCAAGTCCTGCTGAGACAGACTTTCACAGATGAGCTCTGCAGTCCCCAACTATCTCAACTCCTTTTTAGCTATTTGATCATTTTAGTTACAAAGAACTGTGCTCTCTGAACATTGGATTTCCTTGATTTTACCAGCCTTCTTTATTTCACGTTTATCAGTAGTGAATAATGCTATTGTCTGAGAGAGAATGAGAAGTGGGCTTGAATCAGTGTATTTTAAGTCATATAAGTCATATCTGGTTTTTTTTTTGTGATGCAAGCAAGAGAATATCCTATCCTCCAGCGCTGCTGGGTGTAGTGAACCTGTATCATATCCCTGAACACTTGGCAGTGAGGTTATCCTTGAGACACTGTGAGTTATTTCATTTTGTCTGTCCTTAAGATGTTCTTCCATTCCTGTGAAGGGACAGGCATACCACGGTCTGGTCTGCAAACCGTTAAGCTCGGGGGAGCACAAGCTTTTTGCACCTAAGCATTTATGCCTGGCTCTGATCAGGTTCGGAGTTTATCTTACTACGGAGGGAACAGTGTAAGGCAGTGACTGCTCAGTCACTCTTGGTACCTGGTCTCTTGGAGAACTGACATGGATAGTTCCTGGCGAATTTGTTCCACAGCTAGCTTGTTTGACGCTTGATATCATCTTCATGAAAGCATGTATCTGTGTAAAGCTCCTTTCAGATGCAGAAGCTTTATCAGGAGCTGACATTTGTGAAAGCCTATATTGTGCTTTCCAATGCCCTACGTACAAAGATAATAGAAGGAAAAGCTCACAGAGGTTTTCTAGACCAGATAGATAGGTCGCTGGCACTACTTCCCTCTCTCCCATGGAGATCTACATTTAATATGAGGCTAGTCTTTAGTGAAACTAAGAAGAAGCCATTTGGGATTGCATTTGTGATCACCCACTGTCACCAGGGGATGTTTGTGTGGTCCCAGTAGGCACTGCGCTTCCAGACAGTGCCAAAAGGTCATCAGCACCAGAAATGTCAATCATCCCACAGTCATGAAATCTCTGTACCCACAAATGAGAATATGCAGAGGTATCACACTGATGGGTAAGTAGCTTCACTTTCACTCTGTTGCTCTAAAATTACACTAATGCAATTTTAACTTTTCTAAGAGAAACAAATTTGGAAGTAGAGGTAGAATTAAGATACAGCATTATGGATTTCGGCTGCATTGTCCACATTCTGAACCCAGTGGAGTAAAGTCTGAAACTTGTGACCTGAGTTGCATCTATTTTCTTCATCTGAATACCTATACTTAGTATGTTTTCACAGCAATAGAAATTACATAGATATTAAAGATTCTTTTACCATGAAGGTTATTCATGTCTTTGTTCAGCTGCATTTGCAAAGTAAGAGAAATGGGATGACAATAATAGGTTGGAGCTGGACATAGTGACAATAAAACAGCTTTTGCTGAACCAGGTTTGAATAAACTGGTTAAGCTGGGTGTTTCATAGATGTCTAAGTGGCATCTAACCCCTTTGAGAGGCAAAGGAAATGGAACAAAGTCTAATAGAAACCATAGAAATATATTGGCATTAAAAATGTGGTAGGTGAAAAATGGAAGTGGTATGGCTTAGCTTAGATCAACCTTTTATTGTTGTGAAAAATAAATATTACATGGTTTAGCAGGTGAGCAGGCCTCAGGAGAGGACACTGTGTGAGTGATCCTGTTGTAATCCTCACGGGTCCTATGACTTTGCAACCATATAAGCAAGTACCAGGAGGGGCTGGAATGTGACTATGGGAGAATTTGCGGTTAGGCCAGGATGTGGCAGATGGGAAACTAAGAAAAAGAAATCTAACTTAACTACAGTAAAATCTTCCTCATGCCACACGCTACTTTCAGTTGTAAAACTCCAGACTTTGTCCTTCTACAGTTATCAGTCTTTTTCCTGTTATACTACTTCTGAATATGTATTGATAAGACTTCCAAGTTGTTGTGTTTTATAGTCTGTTTCAGGAGTTGGCTGTTTGAAGATGCAATTCTGAGTAGAAGTGAGTAAGCGTATCTGAAAAATAGAAACTATATATGGCATTTTATTGGTCAAAACCAATCTACAAAGGATTATGACCGGCAGTTTTATTTTCCTGTGTACTAGAATTGTCCTGCACGTCATTGCCACAAACATTTGTCATTCTTGTCAGCTGTCAGCTAATTTGAACTATAGTTAGAACTATGTGTTTCTGATATTAACACATGTATTCCGATACAAAAATATAAAAACTCTAATTTTAACCAGAATTAGTATTAAAAGTAAATTTTATTTTGTATTTATCAAAATTGGTTTATAAATATTTATGGAGAAAACAAATGCTTTTGAAGCCATATTTTCTTGATGGCTTACTTCATTGGCTTGAGAAAATTTGTGAATATTTTAAAATTATATGTAAATACAGAAACATATATGACAGTTTCTAGAACAGATTAAAAAATATTGTCATAGATTTACAATCTTTTTGAATTTTTATACTTTTAATGGTTATGGCAACAGTCTGTAGTTTGTGCTGTTCCTGCTGCTACATTTAAATAGTTAAGGTGTATAACTCTATTTCCATGACTTTTGGGAAAAAAAAGTGAGATCTCCTTCCTGCAGAGCAAATAGACAAATAATTATAATTGCAAAGATTTCTCTTTTATCTTCTCCCAATCATAAATCTTTCAAGTAGCTAACCATCCTCCAAAAACCCTGAAGCCTAAGAAAGTGCGAAGTTTTCCATCAGGATGTTCATTACTTAGTAAATCGAGTCCTAATATTGCGTTTAGGAGTTCAATTTCTGTGCCTGCAAGATCTTGTGCAAGTTGTTTATTCTTTCGTGCACCTCAGTTTTTCCACTTGAATGTCTTTTTAATTTCAGTATTGTCTGGATCACATCTTAGCTACATTTTTACCAACTGGAGGTAATATCTGAATGTAAAAAGTTGCATGCTGTAAACCTCTGTCAGCCTTCATTTTCCAGGTTGCTATTACTGAAATCTGTACATATTTCTGCATAAAACAAAACTGTTTTCCTGCAGTAGAGTCCTAATACTTTGTGAAACAGATTGAAATTGCTGCACAGTTAAATTTCCTGAGTATTTTTGAAATTCTGGGCAGAATTAAGTTTAGTTTAGTTTAAAAAACACCAAGAAACACTTTCACATTTGGAAAAGAAAATTGCTAAAAAAATTAACAAAAATATTAGTGTTATGGATAAAGCAACCATAGCTAAAAGGCAAGGAAGAGTTGGTGAACTTGATTTATTATCTGGTAAGTAAAGCAGATACTTTTTCCTTAACTGATAATCAGAAAGGAATACCTGAAGAATAGAGCACAGTGTGTGCACCTGTGACTTCTCTTCTGAAAGCTAGCTTAACAAAGTGCATTGACACAATCTCAGACAAGTTCAGTAGTTGTCCTTGAGACCTGTTTTA